CAGTGGGAAAGTTTAGCCCAGCTTTGCTCCTTTCGGCAAATAAATATTCATTTAGCGGACTTTGGGGTCTGCGGCGATTTCCTAAATCTGTGACTGACTCCTTTTTAACAAACTACTTATAAAAGGTATTCTGATCTTTAAAGGGAATGTGCTTTTTACGTTTTGTAACGCTAGTTCGACTGCGAGTGTGCATCGCACAAGGAAATGACAGAAGACGTGTCCTTTGGCACTTGCCGGCTTCGAGAAAATGTATATGGATTGGGAACTCCTACTAAGCGGGTATTCGAGAGTATTGGCGCGTTCACCTCGATTTTTTGTGAGCTTATTCGTGAAATGCAACGTTGCTTAGTGACATCGACTCCGTGACGAGTTCAAAGCATGAACTTTACTACTCTGGAAACGCAAGTGTGTAATGTCGCTCACTTGCAGGTATGTGAATACCCAAGTGAGCGACATCCACACACTTGCGTTTCCAGTGTAACTAAAGATTTGCGTGGTGTGCAAATTGAAGCAGCTTCGCTTTTTGAACTGGAAAGAGAAATGTGGCAGTGCTGGGTTTGCCGTGCGGAGTCCGGAGTGGTGGACGGGAGGAAAGGGGTGAGGTGAGAGAAGGGGAAAAGTTTCTCGGGTCGTGAGGCGCCCGACCCAGTCCCTGTATCTCCGCGTGCCATCGCATTGCCTGTGCTGCTGTGCACTGTGCATGCAGTTCTCCAATATTTTTACAAAGTAATTTTATCTGTTGATACTCTGAGACTTTACATTTAAGTTAAGTCATAGAACGTTATTTTTTGACTCTTCCGTGGAACTTAATGATATGACGTAACATTTAATAGATTAATTTCTTACCGATCGAGATATTTTGTACTTTACTCCTTGCGTCTCATGTATTTTCATTTCTTTTGTGGCGATCCGCAGCTTGTTTGCCTACAGTAAACTTTGACAGAGCTTTGACCGACGCTGACCTGATCCAAACAAGAGACGCGGAGCTGGAAGACCGAAGGCAACCGAAAGACTCACCATCGATTGCAGAAAATAGTCGGCTGCACAGCGTTAGCGTTACACACACAGACTGCGGCCGGGGTGAAGTCCCCCCTCTCCCCCTTTCCCCATCCTAATCCCTACCTCGCACGCACCTACTCCCCCAGGTCAGCCACGATCCAGACCCGGTTGTTACACTGTTTTAAATATCTCATGGCCTGCATTTCGCTGAAAGAGGCGTTTTTCAAGAGTTCATTCCAATGATTGGTGTCGGTGACTTAAATGCCAGCGGCGGTATAGAGTGCCATGCATATTGTTTTATTTTTATATATTTTATATAACCACTTAGACCGACTAACTCAATAAATGCAAATCCATGTTACTCTTTTAATTGGCATGCAAAATATTTTATACGCCAAAATAATTATGGTCCCTATATTTTTGATTTGTAAGTTTTCGAACATCGCACGAGTATATTTCCGTGAGAGGTATAGTTCGTTCACTATGTAGACACCCCGGCAGGCTAGTCCCTACTCACAATACGACCTAACCCTAACCTCCCAAGGTGTCTACATTTAGTGAACGAACTATACGATCAAGGAAATTTGTAATTTCTGCTTTATATTTGTGTTGACGTTTCATCGCTTTTTCTCAGTAGGCTAAAGATAGTCTTTCGACAGTTTCCATGTTACGCATGCTCTAGTTTAGGTCGTTTCTATAGACGGTGCCCTGACCTCTTATCTGAATAATAAAGGCCAGGAGGGGTGTTGTTCACGGACGTTAGGCTAACCACCCGTTTGGTTATGCCGTCACGGCCGATTTGGCCGTTTTCGGAAGCGGCGGGCCCAAGTACACCCCGCGGGTGGCGCCAACGCGAAAGGCGCTCGCCAGCGCCGTCTGGTGGCTCCGTTCTACAAGGCCACTGTAGCTGCCAGTTGTCACTTCATCTTATCAGGGGATTATTGGAGTGGCTTTACCATGATAGCTTCGTGACCCATAGTTCGACTTATACAATCGAATAATCAACATGGAATATACACGCCTATTTATGTAAAATGTCCACGTTTTTACAAAGAATTTTAAGTAGCATAAAATCCTCTTCGGATTTGTCGCGATTTGTTTATCTTAAATCTACACCTCTTACCGCAACTGTGTGGGCTGGTTGCCTATACTCGATCGAAGATACTGAGTACCATGGCTAGACGGGAGGTGAACCTGCTGGGTCTTGGCAACTTCGCACGGTACTGTACGACTACACATTCTGACGTTTTCGATTTTGTTTTGCAGTCACCTGGAACTTTTGCGTTTGTGAATATAGTGAGATTAATTTTAAAAATACACATCTTGATTACGGTGTGATTTCTCCTGTGTTTTTCTCGGCTGTGCTTTCCGTCATTTTTTTGAATTAACAAGACGTTTGAGCGGGTAAAAAGCTCGCGAGGATTCGTGCAATAACACTTCAATGACCGCCAGCATTACACGCCACTTAGTCACCATGCACTGCCGGCACTTGTCTCCTTAATGGTGGGAATAGTGCCCTGGCATGCTGTCGTCTTAACTTACCAATTTAGATAGTTGGCCTACATCTACATGATAAGAAACTTAATTCGCGCTTTTGCAGTTTTGCGTTTACCATTTTTGATGTAACAGTGGCGATGATCGATCGATTTCGATCACACATCTTCACAAAGTATTCGTTGATTGTTACTGAATTGGCGAATAATCATAGTACATTTGTTATTGGTCGCGTTACGACCGGATCTCTGCTACCGGGGTTTTTGCAGTAACTTCCATAACTTGAGCAATCGGGTCCTCAATGACCACCGGTGATGTAATGGCATCGTTTACGGGTCTGTTTCAAAAGCGCGACAAATATTTTTACAGTGCCCAGTAAAATGAAACAAACGCAAATGGCTCTTTCCTACAAGGTCGGGTGCCCCTCGGCCGCGCGTTACCATACCGTTAGTGAATCGAATATGAATCCTGATATAGCGATACACACCGCCCGCTGGGCGTCGTGTGCAGATATTGCGGTTAGAATAGTGTTCTTATGGCCTCTCGGCTGATAACTGGTCCTGCTGCCTCCCTCCCGCCTCCTTATTCCTTTCTCCAGTGAGGCGCGCACACATCTAGTCCTTGATGGTCCTTGCGGAGTCCTACATGCTGACCCATTCCCACGCATTCACTGCTACTCGGCGAATCAACGCTCCAGAGAGAGCGAGAGCCGTATACGCCGCCTTCAATTTCACAACGTCCTACAAGTGATTCGTATGCACTTGAGTTATTTCACCATTGTTGTATACAACATGTTTTATTGAAACTAGTATTTATTCCTTATGTACGTCCGGTCGATGAGTTCAGTAATTTACTGTTTTGGAAGTTTCTTTGTATCTAGTTACACATAAGTTGTTATGAGCGCGGTGCACTGTCTGTTATTTATTCCGTCAGATAAAGGAAACCGGAAAGTACGTCCGCCATGTTACGAACCTGCCCAGTTCAGTCTCTGCGAGCTATCATAGCGCCTGATAGGTAGGCAATATCTGGCCTGCAGTGCATCCGAGCACTGCGGTGTGGCCTACCCCGAGCCTCGCAGGCGCCGAGCTCCCGTAGTTGGCCAAATGAATCTCAGATAAATGAAGCATACGTGTCAAAATCTTGGCCATCCCTCGTGCTGACTCCTTCCTATGGCGAGACTTAGTATTAACCAGGCACCAGGCAGCCAAGGTGAACTGGGCGGGGCGCGTGCTCTCCCTCTCCAGGACAGTGCAGGTGGACTGGATAGGTGTCGGTCCCACTGGGGCTGATCGTTGCAATAAATCTGGCGCTGTGGGATGGATGGATGGATGGATGGATGGATGGATGGATGGATGGATGGATGGATGGCCATGAAAGTAAAACCTATCAGAGCGTGCAAGGCGATGCTGTGTGAGGACGCGCGCCTTGGCGGAGCCACGATATACTGTTGGGAAAAGTAGAGCCAATATAAAAGAATGTTACTAAAACGCCAACACTAAAGCGGCACTTTCCCAAAGAAAGTAGGGACCATGTGTACTAATGTATCGGCGGACGCTGCAACGTTGCGGGATTGCATGACCTCTTTTGGTCGCAGGGGTCATGGCGGCACCTTACGGGCGAAGGGAGTAAGTAGTAGGCAAACCCGCAACACCGCAGCATCCGCTCTGATACACCCGGTACTCTGTACGTGGAATAGCAGCCTTCAATTGAAAGATGGCGATTCACATCAGAGGAAAGATGTCGAATTTGATTACTCCATTATCTTCCTTACTCCCTCTTCTCAGTCTCTTGTCTCATACTCTGGCGAATAAATAGTCCGCAGTCGTTAATTAAGTTCAATAAGTATGGATAAGACCGGACGCGCGCAGTTTCGCGGATACCGAGTCTTTTAGTCTTTGCAGTAGTGAGGCTGTCTAAGAGAACAGCAAGTGTCTTAATTTCTAATTTTATCCGTACTAGGTGGGCCTTTGTTGGCGGGGTGGGGCGGGGCGTGCTGCACGTGCGCGCCGTGGCCTGCAAGCCGATGTCCGTCGCGGGGCCGGGCTGGGCCGGGCTGGGCCGGGCCGCGGGCCGCACCGCCGTATCTCTGCGGCGGGCCGCGCGCGGTTACGCGGGTTTGCCCGCGCGGCGTGCGCGGCGACACAGCGGTGATTGTTTTGTATGCAGCCCGGCGGGTCGCGCGGCTCGCGGAGGGGCGGGGCGTCGCGCTGCGTACTGTTACCCCATACCGACCAACCAGCCCGTGAAAAAAAAGGAAGGCTTTCTCCTCTGCTGCCCAGAAAATACCTGAGCAATACGTGCGGCTCGGCGGGACGAGAGCCGCGTTTGGTTTTGGAAGGTTGTCCTGAACGAGGACGTGCGGGGCTTCAATGCCAAAGGGGCAGGGAAAAGCTGCAGGAGCAGCGCAGCCAGTCTGTTGTGTTCTAGTTTTGTTGTTGTCGATGTCGTTTCTTTGTTGTTTTGTTTATTACTTGCACCTGTCTAATAGTTGCGTCCTTTTGTTGCAGATGCCCCCACCGCAGTCGGCGAGTCACAGGCCCCGGTGCCCGGCGGGGACCCGGAGTCGGTCCGGGGCCTCCCCGCGCCCAGCTCCACTCCGGGCCCGGGCCTGGGCTCCGGCCTGGGCCCGGGTCGACCCACGCCTAGGATCGACAGCCGCGCCGACAACCGCGCCCGGAGGGTGCGGAAGCTCAGGAAGACGACGACGCCGGGCGACGTGCTGGAGGGCGCCGAGTCCGGGGCCGTGGTCTTGGGGAGGTCAACCCCCAACGGAGACGCTGCCGCCGGCTCCTCGACCCCACCCACCTCGACGAACTTGACCACGACAAGGACCGATTCTACTCAGACCAACAGCACTACGAATACAACCACAACGTCTACCAGCGCGCCCACCGCTCCTACTGAGTTGACAACAGCCTCGCCCAATCCAACCACACTCCGGGCTAGGGTGTCATCGACCATTGCCACCCCAGAGCCGACGACACCGGCCTCCTCCAGCTCGGACAGCTCTACTAGTACCACGCCAGCTACAACGGCGGTTACCTCGGCGACAACTGCGTCCACCGTACCTTACCGAGGGCGTGGCAAATTCCGTTTGACGACGACATCTACGGAGGTGCCAGATGTCCCTGAAGTAGAGCACGACGCGTCGGGCGCCGTCGTCATGACCGACTCTTTGTACAACCACTTCCGGCCGCTTCAGCGAGAGGTTCCCGATGGCGACCACCTAACGCCATTTCTCGAGTTCGGCCGCAAGATCGCTTCGGACCCTACGCGTTCTCCCGTGGCTTCGGGGTCTCCAGGCACCAACCTCATCGTCGAGTCAACGACCTGGGGTCGTTCTGTGCTGCGAAGGGTGACAGCGCCGGCCTCGAGCGCCGCACCCGCGGAAAAGAAGAGCGAGGAGGAGAACAACGATGAGATGGATGTGGGGTTCGATAGGCAGGTCGTGGAGAAGAACAAAGTGGCAACTCGACGCAGGGACTCGCCGAGGACAATGGAGAACCTCGTGATCCTCGGCGGAGGCTCCACGCCCACCACGGTGAAGAAGGCGGCGCGTCGGAAGTTTGTGGTGACGAGAAAGGTGCTCTTAGGGAACGGGACGGACCCCGGCTCGACAGTGGTGAACGTGACCCTTCTGGAGCCCGTCGAGACGGCCGCGTGGGCGGTCTCTCCGCTGGTGCCAGTCACTACCCCGGGCCCGCGGCGCTCGCTCGAGATCAGTTCCTCGAAGGAGGCCATGTTGCACAAAGTTCTGACGGTGAATCGGACGCAGCCCCGAGTGCTTCCTCGAACGCCACAGCTGGACGTGCATCGGATCGTGCAAGAACTGCACGGGGCGGACGAGGAGCCCGCGCAGCAGAGCAGCACGCGGCAGGACACCGTGCAAGCCGCCGTGCCGGAGCACGTGCACGACAAGTCGCTGGCAGAGGAGCTCGAGGCCGAGCCCGTCGTGGCTCAGGCAGAGCCCTCCGTCCGGGCCAACGACACCTACGTGGTGCGCCGCTTCGAAGACCCCTCCGTCGTGCCGTCTCCTAGCGGGTTCATCAAACCGCCAAAGTCACAGATCCCATACTCTTTCATCGTGGGCGCGCGCTCGACCAACATGGACGACGTGGACGTGATGGAGCCCCTGGTGGGCCCTCGCCTCGCCCACCTCGCCTACCAGACGCCCGAGCAGGGGCCCACAGGGGGCGGCGTGGTGCGTGAGGACGGCGAGGGGCTGTCCCAGCCTGTAGTCCCGCGGGCCCCGGAAGTTGTGGAGGCTGTCGTCACTTCCGTGTCCGTCAAACAGCCGTCTGGGACGGTGGTGACCCCAGAGCCGGTGGTGGCCGAAGAGCAGGTCTCTCTCGCGTCGCCAGTCTCCACCGAGAACCTGCAGGACGTTATCAAGATCTTTTTCAACAACACTGCTCCGCCGACACCACCCCCACCAATGACTGAGGGGCCACCGCCTGCCCCTGGTCTGCCGCTTTCGTTTGAGGTCGTGCGGAACACGAGCGAGGTGAGCGTGGTGCTACCCTCGTCGCCCAGCCCCGCGCCCCCCAGCTCATCCAGCACGTCGCAGCCTACCAGCACCCTCACTCCCACCCCTAACCCCGCAACCGCCACCTCCACCTCCTCGACAGTCCCGCCATCGCCTCGTCCACTGCGATACAGATCTACGACTACCTCAACAACCATCGCACCCGTTCGGTTCCGCTCTACCACCAGCCCGACGACAACTGCGCCTGCTGTGTCGCCTACAACGTCGCCCTTCACGACCCCAAGCACAACCACGACGACCTCCATGCCGCCGCCACCACCACCTACTTCACCCGAGCCGGAGGTGCGGACTCCATTCCTTATCAAGGTCCTCGCGCCCGAGAGCCCCCCGGAAGCCAAGCCCCGCGCCATCTGGAGGGACACGACCACAACGTCCACCACTCTAGCGCCCACCGACCCTTCTCCGGCCCAAACAAGCAGCACGACGCCTTCCACCACAACTTCATCTACCACCACAACCACCCCCAAGCCGCCGCCGCCGACAACAACCACTACTACGACCACAACTACTCAGAGGCCATCCACAAGCAGTAGTACTACAACTACGACCTCTACAACCACCACAACCTCTACAACTACTACAACAACCTCAACGACTACCACTCCTCCCCCGCCGCCTTCCACGTCTGAAGCAGCAGAGGTTGAAGAGGAGGTAGTGGTTCCGGTTGCGGCGCCCACAGTAGAGGCAGCTGCTCCATCCCCGACGCTGGCAGCCGAGGCGGCAGCTCCTTCCCCGTCGGCGCCGCGCTCGAACCCACCGGTGCCTATCTCTGCCGAGAGCATCCGGCAGCGGTCGTACAAGCAGCGGCCTATACCCGTGCCCAAAGAGGTGTTCAAGACCATGACCACGGTGGGCCCCTCAGCGTCTCCGTCGGCCGACGCCGATGACGAGACCACAGTCCTGCCCTCTACCAGCTCGCCGAGTACCTCGACGACGACCCCCACTCCCACACCCCGGACCGTGTTCCAGCAGCCACGGCCCAACATCACCCCCGTGCGCAAGGAGCAGCTGGGCCGCGGTGGCGGAGGCCGCGGTCGCGAGCGCGACGGGCCGCAGGGCTCTCAGGACCCGGACCTTCTCGGAGCCAAGGGCCGCGGCCGCGCCGTGTCCAAGCAAGACTTCGCGCTGATGGAGGGCCAGGACCGCCAGGACGCCAAGAGGGTGCCCACCGAGCGGGAGCTTGGTGTCGTGCCCCCGGGCGTGGGCGTCCTGACCTACGTCCTGCTCGCCCTTGGCGTCGTGCCGCTCGCCCTGGCCGGCGTGTGCACCGCCCGGTACTTCATCAACCGCAGGAAGAAGGTGAGCGCTGAGAACGCATTTAGTCTATGCTGGCGTACCATGGCGCCCACGCGTCACACTTACGCTTTCGTCAACTTCCCTTTTTGTTTTTATTATTATTATACCCCGCCAACCAACCACTGCCCGCTCCCTGCCGGCGCGTTGCGCTTGCGGGAGTGGTGCGTTGCAATGACGGGGTGGGGGCGCAGTAGCGTAGGTCGCTGTGGGTGGGCGGCCGGCTTGCCTCCCCGCACTAGCTAGCGGGTATTGTTTTCATTTCTTAATAACAGCTGGCTACTGTGCTGCGCGCTCCGGAGCGCCCGGCCCGGAGCAACCACGGACCTGCACGCGAATGGGCGTGGGGGAGTGGGGGGTGCTCGTTTAGTCGTCCTGTTGATTTCTCTTCACTGTACTTGTTTTTAACGTTCAACCTCTTCCCCCAGGTGCTCGACGAGTCCGACTCCTCCTCCGAGCTGAGCTGCCACCGGCGCACGCGGATCGCCCGGCCCGATGTGTCGCCGACGGCCAAGCTGCCCCGGCCGCTGCCGCACTTGCCGCTGCCCCACCTGCCGACGCCGCCCACGCCGCCCAAGGTGCTGATGCCGGCCCTGCCCACTGCGGAGCGACGCGGAACGTCCCCACGGCGTGCTCATGACCCTCTTCCTCTTGTCCGCCAGGCCTGGGAGGACGGCGACCTGGAGCGGGAGCAGCGGGAGCAGCGCGAACAGCGGGACCGCGACCGGGAGCGGGAGCGCGAGTGGGACCGAGACCGGGTGCTCCAGATGCCCGCGCCCACGCGCTGGGAGTTCCCCCGCGACAAGCTGCGCCTGCAGACCCTGCTGGGGCAGGGCAACTTCGGACAGGTGAGCTGATGGGGGGAGCTTTATTTTTCCATCGTCCGTCTTGATTTTAAACTCTGGCATTACAGCACTTGTTGTAATGTGGTGGTTCTCACATGGGGGAGAGGGGGGGGGGGTTGCCAATGATGGAGAGCGCCCTAACAAAGCCCTACGATATGTGGGCTGTATTTCTGTTGTATTTTTTGGGGGTGTTTTCAGTTTTTGGAACTCCATTTTACGTGGAGATTACGCAACATTTTTCTTTTCAACATTTTTTTGTTTTGCTGAGCTCACAATCCTAGCGTGCCCGGCCAGGCCTCGAACGGCTCTCCGGCCGTGCTAGACTGCGACGTCTCTGGCTGTAGAATGCTGACGTTACCAGGCTACCTGCCCGTAATTCGAAACATGAACCGGGTGGGCGGGACAGGCCCCCCTTAGCTAGCTATTCAAGGTTCTACTGTACAGTGCTCTTGGCTGCGGGGAGGCTTCTAACCCAGACGGTGCTGTATAGGGGGCCATAAGTCGCTCCCTCCACACTTTGCAAGTTTTGTGCTTGGTATGCAACCTGGATTCTTTCCGCCGGTCCTAGGCATTGGCAGTTGGGCAGTGTGAGTGTACCGTAATTCTGGCTAGTCATCTGTCTGTAGCTGTGGTCTATCCGCGTGCTGTGTTGCGTTTGGTGCGTGCCATGTGGTACTTGAGGTCACCATGCTCGACTCCCACACTGCGGCCCATCTCGAGAGATCCTCTCCCCTCCCGTTCGCTCACTCGCTCGCTCAAGCAAACCTGCTGTTTTGTGTGTGATTGACCGTGCGGCGCCGGTCGGGCTCATGCCAATGTCAGCGCGACCTCCAGATGCCTCGCGGGGCGCTCTCTCGCCCCGCGACGCGCTCGTGGGAATCGCCTGGGATCGAAACCCCGTCCGCCCGCGGGATGTGACTCCTCCTCTCTGCTACACGCACGCCGTCTCTTTCTCCCTCGCAGGTGTGGAAGGCCGAGGCGGACGACATCAGCGGGCACCGCGGGCTCACGCGGCTCGTGGCCGTCAAGACGGTGAAGGAGGGCGCCACGGTGCGCGAGAGGGAGGACCTGCTGCGCGAGCTGGGCATCATGCAGCAGCTGGGCGCGCACCCCAACGTCGTGACGCTGCTGGGGTGCTGCACGGAGAAGGGTGAGTGAGGGGGAACTCGCAAACTGACGTCGGGTTGGAGTGGAGCCGAACAATCACGCGTGGTGTGTCCTTCATTGCAGAGCCGTTCCTGCTCGTCATGGAGTACGTGATGTACGGCAAGCTGCTCGCCTTCCTGCGGGACCACCGCACGCGCCAGGACTACTACAACTTCTCGGAGGACTCGGACGCGCTCACCTCCCGGGACCTGACGGTGTTCGCCTTCTGTGTCGCGCGCGGTATGGAGTACCTCGCCTCGAAAGGGGTAAGTAGTAGTGCTGCACCGGCATGTCGCTCGCCTCACCCGCGCGAGCTCGCCCGAGGAAGACGCTCTGAACCTTTTTTTGCATCAGGTCATTCATCGGGACTTGGCG